TTCAAGACACCCCTTCCCTGCTCGGATTGACTCGCTTGGTTCATGTTTAAAGGGCGGGGGGAACTGATCCGCGTTGCATCTTCTTCGAAACTTTCTCCATTCGCTTCCCGGAGGCTGGTGTGTGTGGGGGGGGTTTTTTTTTGTCGAGAGCCCCCTGGATGCTTGGCCCTCCGTTGTCCGTTTTCATGGGCCCCTTTCTTTTCCCTCATCCTCTTCCCTGCTCGGATTGACTCGCTTGGTTCATGTTTAAAGGGCGGGGGGAACTGATCCGCGTTGCATCTTCTTCGAAACTTTCTCCATTCGCTTCCCGGAGGCTGGTGTGTGTGGGGGGGGTTTTTTTTTGTCGAGAGCCCCCTGGATGCTTGGCCCTCCGTTGTCCGTTTTCATGGGCCCCTTTCTTTTCCCTCATCCTCCCCCTGAGTTTGTTCCGACCCGCTAGTTTCTACCCAGACTCTAGGGAAGAGGGCCGGGAGGTTTGAGGGTGGGAAAGACGCAGGGATGAGATAAGACCCACATCGACGACCCCCCCTCCGGCCGCCAACTTCCCACCGTGGAGTGTTTCCTCTACCCAGGAATGGGGTGGCTTATCGGTTGGTTCATTGCTGGGATTTCCGACTGGAAGATCGCATCTTATCTCGCCTCTTTCAGCCTCCGCCTTCGTGTCCAGTTGGCACCAGTTAGCAGGGATAATTTTTTTGAGATGGGGGGGGGGGTCACTGACAAGATTTTGTGGCTCATTCCGCGCAAATGGAGCAGCACCTCCTCCCCCTAGCCAGAGCCGCGCTGCGAAGGATCAGCCACGCTGCCCTGCCAGGAACCCACAAGCCAGCTGTTTAAAAATGCTGGAATGCGATTGAAATCCCCGGCCCGCTCGGCTGGAGGGGTTATTTGAACAGCCCAACAAGAGGCTGGGGAGGCGAGGTGCGTGTACACAGGCTAAGTGGCGCTACTTGAGCACAAGTGGGCTCTCGGAGCGGGCAAGTGTTTACCTGTTTACTTTCACAGGTAGCTCAAACACGAGGCGTTTGGCCCTTTTCTCTTCCCCCCGCCCCGCTCGTTGCTGGGACGCTGGCTCCTGAAAACCCTTCCCAGCGAGGCAAAGCGCCCTTCGTAGCCGGCTGCGGCGCGGCGAACCCACCAGCAGGCACCGGCGGCTTCGCTTCGGGTCCCCGCGCCGGAGCGAATTCCAGGCCGGCTTTCTGGAACGCGCCCCCGTGTAAACGCAAAGCGGGGGAGGGCTGCGCGCGGCAGCAGCTGTCAGGCCGAGCCTGCTTCACCCCCCAGCATCCTAGGACCCGCTCCCCCCCCCCACCATCCCGGGCCAAGGCGGACTCGGACCTTTTCTCCCGGAGCGACGATCCGGTTACGACGGCTCGGCCTTGATGCGTGTGAGCGACTGGTCAGAAGGGCTGCCAGTCATTAAGCAGCACAAGGTCTTTCCATTGATTTTAAGCCCCTAATTTGTGGGCCTCCATTTTCCTCCCGTGAATTGAAAAGGTGTCGAGCGGGAGTTCCTTTTCTCTCCGCGTACAGTACGCGGGGCTGACCTCTCGCCCTCCCCCACCGCCCGTCTCAGATAACAGCCTTCAAGTGGATTAGTTTATTGTTTGATTAGCGCAAAGGTGCAAGAAATTGTTTTCATTCACTCCAGCCAAACAAAACGCATTGCACCTTAACGCTCTGCTGAGGATTAGTTGAAGCTGACACAAAGCTTTTGTTTGGGGGGGGGGGGGGGGGGGGGTTTTTTTTTTTTTTTTTTTTTTTTTTTTGGGTTTTTGTTTGGGGGGGGGGGGAGGGGTTATTTATTTTATTATTATTTTTAATCTTGGGTTTGATACTGCGAGGATCGGAGACACTTGAAATCAATGGGGAAGGAAAATCCAGCCCCGTCTACTTCTGATAATTGTTATGAAGAGATTCACCTTCGAAACATGCCAGGGAACAATGCGGCCTTTGTTTTAAAATGATGCAGGGGGGAAAAGGAGAGATTGCCTCAGAAGAGGTGTCATCTTTTGTGGTTAATAATAAAAAAGAAAACGCAGTCTCCATGCAACATACAAGGGCACTTGCCTTGAATAGACAACTTAAAACCGCCCAGAATTGTATCCCCGTATTATATACCTAAGCACACTCGCCCACCCCAGGTATAAAAACCATGTAAATGGGTCTGCTATTTCACTTGACACAAAGTAGTCCCAGGTTTTTGTTTCGCAAAGCACTTGCAAGGTCTAGGAGCGAGCGAGAGAAAGCCAACAATAACAGCCACTAAAACTCAAGTCCAAGCACCCAGAAACGAGATCCTGACCATGTGAAAATCTTCCTTGGAGGGGGCACAAAAAATAATCGTTTTCCTTTACCTCTGAAATTGTAGAGGCACAGAGCATCACAACCCCTGCAATGGATTAAAAGGCTGCCTTCCCTGTAATGGCTGAGGGTTAATGCCTCTGATGGGGGAATTTGCCTTCTCTTTTCAGGGCTGGCGAAACGGCAGTATCAAAGCCTACAGCCGTGATTTTAAACATTAAAAAAAAGCGCTCTGAATCAAGCAGAGTTCCTGTAGTACCCTCCTCTTTCAAGCCATCCGAAA